GTGTGGCCCAGTTCCTAACAGGCCATGGACCAGTACCAGTCCACAGCTGGGGGTTGAGGACCACGGCTTTAGAGGACTTATCCACTAATTATGTTTTCATTTTATTTATTTATTTATTTCGGGATATTATGGGGATACAAACATTTTGGTTACATATTATGACTTTGCCACACCCAAACCATGATTCGAGGCATGCCTTTTCCCCGCTACAACGCTCGCTCTGTCCATTAGTTCTAGTTTACCCACTCCCAACCCCTCAATCCCTGAAGAATATTACTATTGTGTGAGCACCATTGTGCTGATCAGTTTTTAAAAGGACCTTGCAGCTCAGATGTTTAATTAGGCAGATTCTCTTCTCAAATTGTAAATAATCCTACAAATTAGCCCTAACATTTAGTTGTCCATAAACCACAAAACTTTTGGCTATCAAAAGATTACATCATAAAACTATGATGTACCCTTTTGTGCTTATGTTTGAGGAAATAATCTCTTTTTAAGGCCAACATGGTGTTGAGGCCCTCTACCATTTCTAGTCACAAAAAGATGTAACTCATCAGTTCTATGATAACTTTTTCCTCATATTTTAACATATCTGAAATTTGAAAATCTTACAACCAATATCATATTAAATTTTACTTGACAGCATTTTTTCTTAATGACACATAAAATAATGTCTCACAATTATTGGTGTCTTAGATTTGATGAAACATGTTGTGTAGTTCTTATATTTTGTTTATGTCAAAAGAGAAGACTGCTTCCTGGATAAAGTAAACAATTCTTCTTTGACTTGCTTGCTTTTACTCTTTTCCACTTGATTTTTCAATCAGACTGGAGGAAGAAAGAAACAGAAAAACAAAAAGAAGAGAAAAAAAGAAAAACACATTAGAATATCTACTATGTTTCAGGTATACTAGATATACTTTTATGTAGATTATTGCAGAGTAAATGAGCTTCAAGAAATTAGAAGACGTACGTATTTAAAGGCAGACCAATGTTCTTTGGAAATAGTCATGTAATTACAGAAGCACAATGATCTTAGAAGAAGACATCTAGGCTCCATTTTTCTCAACATAAAACTCTTTTTTTTTTTTTTTTTTTGAGACAGAGTCTCACTGTGTTGCCCAGGCTAGAGTGCCGTGGCGTCAGCCTAGCTCGCAGCAACCTCAAACTCCTGGGCTCAAGCGATCCTCCTGCCTCAGCCTCCCAAGTAGCTGGGACTACAGGCACGCGCCACCATGCCCGGCTAATTTTTTCTATATATTTTTAGTTGTCTGATTAATTTCTTTCTATTTTTAGTAGAGACAGGGTCTTGTTCTTGCTCAGGCTGGTTTCGAACTCCTGAGCTCAAACAATCCGCCCGCGTCGGCCTCCCAGAGAATAAAACTCTTTTTATAATTAACCTCAGTAGTGTTATTTTATCTTTTAAGATGTCTTACCGTGTTTCAGCCTGTGAAGATCTCTTTGACTCTTAAACTGGCTATCTGCTTTAGCTAAGCAGATATCTTCATTAATGTTATGAATAAAATGTTGAATAGAATTGAGTCCAGCCAAGGTCTATAGTTTAACATTAGAGACATCCCTCTGGAGTTAACCTTGTTCCATCAGTCAAGCCTGTTTGCTTTGATTGTTCAACACTTCTCTGCTTTGGGATAAAGTTCAATTTCCTTAGAGTGGAACTGAAAAGACAGATTTTTGTGGTCTGTCTTCTTTATAGCTTGGACTCCTGCCATATCCCACCCTGATGTCAGTTCACTTTAGTCAGTTTGAACTGCCTGTTTCCCAAATTCTTCTCACAGTTCCGCCTTTCTAGAATGCTTTTTATTCCTTCTATTTGTAAATTCCTATGTATCCTGTAAGTCCCACCTCCAATTTACCCTTGCTAAGAGACCTTTCCCTGAAAAACCATCTACCCCTTCACCAGATTAGGTATCCCGCTTCTATGCTCCCAAGACACCCTTTGCTTCCTCATAGTACTTAACACATTGCATTGTAATTAGAATTCATCTGTCTTTCCCACTAGAAATGAATACTTTAAAGGCAGGGATGATATTTCACTTCTTTGCTGTTGGCACAGCATGGCACTTAATATTGCCTTGCTAAATTAAAGATGCCATGAAACTTTATTAAATAATCTGCTGAATGTTCAGCCCCATAATCTATCAGTTTGTCAATGCTGTAAAAATAAAAGGTAATGAGATTGATTTGATACTTCCTTATGTATGCACTGCATTGTTATTCATTTCACTTTAGAGCAGCAGTTCCAAACCTTTTTGGTACCAGGGACCAGTTTCACGGAAGACAATTTTTCCACCGACGGTTGGGGGGAGGGCTTTGGGATGATTCACGCACATCACAGTTATTGTGCAGTCAAACCTCTCTGCTAATGATAATCTGTATTTGCAGCCACTCCCCAACACTAGCATCACTGCCTCAGCTCCACCTCAGATTATCAGGCATTAGATTATCATAAGGAGCACGCAACCTAGATCCCTCGCATGCTTAGTTTACAGTAGAGTGCTCGCTCCTATGAGAATCTAATGCCACTGCTGATCTGACAGGAGGCGGAGCTTATGCAGTGATGTCAGCGATGGGGAG